GAATTACTGTGGTGGCTTGTAGGACAGGCAATAAATGTTACTGCAATAACTCACAGGTCTGTTGTAAAAATACATTTATTTGTATCTGTGAAGGATAGAATCCATCCAGCCCAGAATCTTGCCTTCTGTGGTGACCACAGGTGGATGACCAGTTAAAAAAAAGAACAGGGAAAGCCTTTATGACACCTTCATACAAGAATTCCTCAAGGCTCTGTCTCAGAAGGCCTTCTGGATCTGTCGTGTTCTGCCTGTGTAGTGATTCTCAATAAATCCCTCTTTCAAGTGTCTCTTCTGAAACCCATCTGATTTGTTTCCTCTATAACATAATTTGAAAAGCAAAAAGTTCGACACGTCTTCTGGCTGCTGCATGGTGAACCATCTCCTTTTGTTTGATTTCAGTCTAGCTCTTACTGGCTTCAGTGGAGAACCTCTAGCTCTTGAATCAGAAAAGACAGTGAGTGGCAGATTCCTATTCAAGCTTTCCATCCCATTCAAGATTTTGCAGACCTTTATCATACTCCCTTTATGCCATCTCTCTAAAAGTCTGGAGATGATCTGTTCCACTCACTTGTAGTGAAGGATGCCACAGAACATCCCATGAATACATCAAATGTTTCCTCAGAGTAAGCTTCAAAAAATGCACAGAAAAAGAAAGTGGAGGGGTGCCTGTGTGATATCTAAGGAAAAAGACTGAAGAATCAACCAGTTCATAAACTTTATCCATCCTGAATGAGGAAGCAGATGAATGGAGAGAGAAGCAGAGGAAACAATGTGATTGCGTAATGAAATATTGCATCAGGATGCACATGCACAAGGGTAAAAATAAAGTAAAATTACAGAGATAGTCTTCATTTTGGTATTTCTGACTTTGAAACTCCAACATATATCGATTTCCTGGGAGAAAGGGGAGAAGGTATTTGGGAGGCCATAGGCTATTTTCCTCCTCTTTGTCAGGCACCACCAGGCTGTAATGGCTCTGACTGCCCTGCCAGGGCCTCCCACCAGCCTTCCAGTGGCCGAGGACTCCATTTCAGTCCCCCCATGTTGTCATCCCCCAACACCACAGCAGTGCCTGTCTCTAGCTCCCCAAAGCCCTGCCCTGCCCGGCCATAGGATCTGACTTCTGGGCCGATGCTGGCTTGACTTTGGGCCTGCCTCATCACCATGGAGCTGCCTGGCAGTCACCAGACCTGTCCTTGAGCTATGGAGTGACTTCCCAGCTTGTCCTTGGACCTGTCTCATCCTCACTACCTTGCCTGATGATTTGGACTCCGGTTAAACCCGGCTGCCCCTCAGCCTGCCCTGGCTGGAGTGGTGGGACAGGGTCTGGCTGAGAGGTCCTGCCCCTGCCCTGGGGATCCCCCATGGCTCCTGCACCCCAAAGAGCCTCTCCCACCCCCTGTCCTGAAAGACATCCCATTAGCACAGGCTGGAGAGCATGTGCTCTGCCACTTGACTTAGTAGAAACTCTGTGGGTTTATTGTTCCCTCAATACACACTGTGACTGTATTGACCCACCCTTGATATTTTCCCCCCTAACTTAGCTAGGTAGAAAAAGAACAAAATCTTTCTCTCTCTTTCACAGATCACATAAAATAAAAAAAAAAATCACATAAAAGCTGGAAGGGAAATAGTGTTGGTAAAATGCACAATCAGACTGTGGAACACATCTCCACAGGCATCAGCAAGTTTAGCAAGATCAAAAAGCAAGTTTGTTACATGAATAACAAGAATATCCCATGTTTTAACAGCCCAACCTGAACTATTGTGCAAGGAAATTAAAATTAGGATATCGTCTCACTGTTAGAGACTTGCATGAGACTTTACCTAGAGCTACAACTCCTGATCCTAGGTCCTACCTACATCTTGTTTTTAGGTGTCAAGTGCTAGTCACTATTGGAGACTCTTGGCCTGAGCCAGTGGGACAATGCTGGGGGAAGTTTGTTATTGGTTTCCCACTAGAAAGCTGTAGAAGGTACTACTACAATGGGCTGCAGTAAAGAACTCTGGGGGTATGCTTGAACTGGAAGGCATGTTAAAAAGAAATTAACCTCCTTTAGTTTCAAAAGTTAACAATGAAGATGCACTAAATACCTGATCTAGTTGTCACGCTTTTAATGATTAGCTGAGAGAAGGAGAAACCTGTCCATGGACAATTTATCTCATCCTACAATAAACAGGTTGGGTGAATTGGGTTCAAAAAGTGCTGAATTCTCTCTTTGGAGAGAGTCTAGACGGTAATTTCACCCAGAGATGGGATTGATGCTACACCACCCCAGTTCATGGGGGTCCCGAACTTCTAAGAAGCAGGAGAGAGAAGGTGGAAACAGCAAGTAACGCTGAACTCTTCCGGAAATAGAACCAAAGCCCTGAAATTCCCCTCCTTTTTTGCATTCCCCACGTTTGCATAACATTTGTGCATGTGAAATTCTAGGGAAATGAAATCATTTCTGGTTCCAGCTTGCTGCTTTTTCTGCAAAGTGGATTATTATTTTTTTTAATCCTGAAGCCAAAACATTCCCCTGAATAGAAAGCTCAGCTCCTCCTGGCTGTAAAATTTATACAGAAGTATAAAAGAAGCTTAATATTTGAAAAGTACTTTTGCTCTTTAAATACATTTGATCAGGACACGCTAGCAGCCCTGGTGATGGGCACTTTTAGATATTTATGAAGTATTAAAGGAAAACAAACCCCTCCTTGCAAAACTAAACCTCCTTCCCCCAGTAATTATGCAAACCCTGGCATTGTGCAGGGATTGGCACGTCTCTCAGAAAGAAATCACACCCCTTGCTCTGTTTAACCAGAGTGAAGACGTACAGGCCATAAGAACCCAAAACTCTGCAGCAGAAATCCACACGCACGGTCCTGCCCTGCTCACCAAGCCATGAGGATGATGGACAGTGCTTTATCCCAAGGCTTTTGGAAAGTTTTCCCAAAGTTTTTCCCAAAGCTTTTGAGAGCATTTGTGCTTTTCCTTGATGCATGTCCTCAGCGTACATTTAAGAAAGGGTTTCCTGATGCTCAGCACATCCTCATCCTCCACCACCCAGCCTTTGCAGAGCTCTTTTCCTTGCTCTCACAGCTGCCATCCAGCCCAGAGCAGTTATAATTCAAAGCAAGCCCAGCCTTCAGGCAGCCACCAACCCTCTTCGTTCCCCCAGAGGCCCTTGTCCTCAGAAGCAGTGTCATCTTGTAATTGCTTCGTTCCTACTGTCCTGCTGATGTCTTTCTCTGCTGTTACAGTAGAAGAAGGTGGGAGGGGAAAAGAGAGCATTTTTAGGGCTGAGATCTGGCAAGGTTCATAAAGCTTGCAAAAAAACCTGTGATCCACACCTCGTCCACAAACACCCTGTCAGTTGACCGATCAACATCAGAGTGGTTAACTCCTGGTCTTACAACTCCTGGTTGTAAGAAAAACACCTTCAGCATGGCAATAGCCACACGCTTTTAATCACAGAGGTGGGCTCTGCTGTCCCTTTGCTGCTGGTGTAGCTCTGGGTTGAAGTCTCAGGAGTAAGGTAGCTGCTGCTGGTCAAGCCACATTGTAGTATAACCGTTCCCTGCTAGATGACACTATGTTTCTGCAGCTCAGAAATGGTTCCTCATGGGCTATTCCAAGTCTCTCCTTAAGCAACTGTGGAATTTTATTGTCCTTTCCTCCTGCCACAGCAGCAGCAGACAGGGTGGGGAAAGATATAGCTGCTGTTTCTTGAAAAATAAAGCACAAGTGGCCCGCTTTGCAAAACTGACCACATCAGAGGTGGTGGGTAAGGCGGTCTGCATGGGTACCCGAGATTTGTGGGGACGCAGTGAGGGAGGGTGGTGAGAGCAGGCTGGTCACCGTGAGGTGGCTGCACAGAGACAGCCCTTGTGTTTGTAGCAGAGAAGCCCCACGCACCAGGGATGCAGCCCTGTGACTCCCTGGTCTCAGCAGTGGTTGTGACGGGCACCGGAGACGTGGCCACAGCGCCAAAAGCGCCATTTGGAGGAAATCCCCCAAGTGAAAACAAAGACTCTGTAAGTCATTTCCTCCGAGCTGAACAGAAAGACATCTGTGTTGATCCAGCTCTTACGCACCACTCACAACAAAACAATTGCTTGCAAGCGGCACAGCCCCTGCTTGCTCTCCTCTAGGCTGACACTTAGAAACAGGAGAGATGTATTCCAGCTGAACTTTACGAGCTCTTGTTTTCTCTCAATGAAGTTTTGCAGACTGACAGTTTCTATAGGTAAGGTTGGGCTAAGAGAAGGAGGTAAAGAAGGAAGCCTGCGTGACATCTCACTATAGACCCTTTTCGTACTTAAAGGGGTGTTTCAGTACTTAAAGGGGGCCTACAGAAAAGATGGGGAGAAACTTTTTAGCAGGGCCTGTTGCAATAGGAAAAGGACTAATGGCTTTAAACTTCAGACTACACAGAAGGAAGACATTTTTTACACTGAGGGTGGTGAAACACTGGCCCAGGCTGCCCAGAGAGGTGGCAGATGCCCCATCCCTGGAACCATTCAAGGCCAGGTTGAACAGGGCTCTGAGCAACCTGATCTAGTTGAAGGTGTCCCTGCTCATTGCAGTGGAGGCTAAACCAGATGACGTCTAAGGGTCCCTCCCAACCCACGCTATTCTATGACCCTGAAGTTCAACACAGACTCTTTCTTGACAGGTGCAAAAAGCCTCCTTCAGTTATTCTGGCTGCGGTTGAGCGTCTGAGCTTTGGGGTGGCTGGATGCAACACATGGTTGTACAAAGTGTTAAGTACACAGGAAGGAACCGTAACCCCAGGGGCCACCCGGGTACGGGCAGATGGGTGATGACCATTCGGTAGGAGCTGCCTGAGGGTTCAGAGGCCACTCAGGACAGAGGACACCTGTGCCCACAGTCCCTGTTTGGAATGAGAAACACCTGATCCAAACCACCGGTGACACCCATTTAAAGGCAGCTGGTGCCAAGCTGCTAGATTTTTTGGGAGGGGAGGGGAGAGGAGAGTTTGCCTTTTTCTCTTTACTTCACCCCCACGTTTCTGGGCAGCTCCTGGCCGTTGATGTGGGCCACTTTCTTGCTCCATCTCCTCGCCACCCCGCACCTGCACGAAGGGTGCCCGGGGCGGGAGAGGGGGCTCCGCTGCGGGGTCCGTCTCTCCCGCGCCGCTTCCTCCGCCGGCAACCTGATCTAGTTGAAGGTGTCCCTGAGAAGTAAAAGAAGAGGAGGAGGAGGAGGAGGAGGAAGAAGAGGCGCTGCCGCCGCCTTCCCGGGCCGGAGCGGGGCAGTGCGGTGCCTCCCTCCCTCCTTCCGCCTCTCTCCGCGCCGCCGGAGCTCCTTCGGCGGCGGCCCCCGGGACGGCCAGGTAAGGCAGAGCTGGGGCTGGGGACATCGGGGCCGGCTGTCCCCCGGGGGGGCGGCGGTTGGGGGACCGGTGTCGGCAGCTGGAAGCGGTGGCCGTGTTCCCCCTGCCGAGTGTCACACGGGAGCTGTGACAGAAGCTGCGTCCTCAAACTTTTGCTTGAAAGGGCGATAATGTGTGTAGCGTGCGGGGGTGCAGCCCAGGAGACCGAGTCCAACTTGAAGGCTGACTGTGGATGGGTATTTTCGTGGTTATGTGACTTTCTTCTCTCGCTCTCTCCTGACGCCTGGGTCATTAACCCTGCTGGGCTTTACTGAGGCTGTTCCACCTCCTCTCAGGGCACCATCAGCCTTGTGTGTGAGTTCAGTCACCTTAATAATTCCACCTCTCCCTGTCCCACGGCATGGTTGTCCCTTCCCGGTGGCGAATGCTCTTCCCTCACCTCATGCCGGGACACAGCATACTGGTGGCTCTGTGCTGTAGGTGACTACATTGGCACGGTGCTTTTCCCCAGGCTTCCTTTCTGAGTCCCTAGAAGTCAGAACTCATACTTATTTGAACCATAAACTGAGCCTTTGAGCATAGACCCAGCCAGGAGCTCTCTGCTTGGAATGACAGATTTGTACCGCACTGTGACAAATGCTGATCTGAAATACTTAAGATTGTTTTACGAGTCGAATAAGTGAGACTGTAGCTTTTATAGATGGAAAAACCAACTGGAGCAGAAATGCAGATAAAAAGGTGACTTGTGAGTACCTCCTTCTGGAACATTTATTTTTATTTTAGAGAAAATGTTGCTAATGCCTTATTTGACTGTCTCACCTTTGATAGAGCGTAGCTGCAGGACGAAGCATCGCTTTTTAATTTCTCATAACTCTGCAGTGACTGGAAGATGGGTCGTTACTTACAACTGCTATACAAACGTTTAGGGTATTTTGGGCCATCAGAAAGCACCACCCATACAAATAAGCTCCCAGTTGCACTTGAGGGAGCACCCAGAGGGGTTTTGGACATGTTCCTCTCTGCTTTCGGCACACCAGCTGTGCTGCTCGGATCACACCACCTGTGCAGAGGAGGCCCTTTGGGCATCCTGATCTTGTTTCACGGGCACTGCTTTTGTAGGTGGGGAGGTAGCTCCCAGGCAGGGTGCTACTTGCAGCCGTTGGGTGATTATGATCTGTAAGGGGACTGCAGCAGGAGAGAGCCCATTTGCTATCAGACTCTCCTCTGATAGTCTTGTTTCTCTTGGTTTTATTTTATGTGTTTTATTTATTGAGAAATTACATCTTATGGTGAAATAATCACATTTATTTCTGCATTTATTCCTCAATGGAAGTGTGCTTTACATGTTCTGCTAAAACCTTAAATGAATAACATGAGCGTTTTGAACCGAATGATTTCTGTGTGAGCTTGCCTGCTGAAACAACTCAAACAGAGAAATGTGGTTGTATTTGGCACCTGGTGATTCCCTCCTCATCTTTTTTTTTCTTATGCGATAATCTCACAGATGTGAAAATCAAAAACAAAGATTTGGAGTTCACATAGTAAAAACATACTGCCAGTTAGGCCTACATGGTGAAATAACTCCACTTCTCAGCTGCCACACCTGATATTATTAGCCCTTCAAAACTTATAGGAGTACTACCTTTTTTTTTTCTTCAGGATGCTAATATATGATTTTTTTAATCTTTTAAAACCATTGATTGCGAGGCAGCTAGATTTATGTCCCAAGTTAAGTTAACGTTTTAATTCTTAGCTATGGGCTCACTATTGTGGATTTGGTGTTGGAATGTATCCAGTGACCTGGCTGACTGCCTACAATGGCTAGAAAGGGAGAAAAATAAAATAGAGCTGATAAAACAATATCAGCTCCATATTGTTTCATCTTGCCCTGAAACAACATTGTACTCAGAAATGCCATGATAGTGTGGTATCCTGTAATTAAAATTAAAATAGCTGGGAAGTGGTTACTTTAATAGAATTGCTTGCAGGCATCAAGAAGTCTTCCCCCTCTGCCAAGCGTAGGTGCAACCTGTTGTAGATTTAACTCCCTCTGTCTTGTGTTAGATTATGAACTGGATACACAAGATAAGGTGCATAGAGGTGTAAGTTTCATACAAATATTTGTATCTCAAATATGCAAAACATTTTCTGTGTATTAGACAATGGAAGTCTGTGCTTCCTGCTGTCAATGCAAAGATTATGGAAAAATATGTTAACCTCTGTTAACCATTGACCTCTAAGATGTTTTTCTACTTAGCTTGTTTTGACTTTTTTCAGTAACCTATTACCTTTTCACTGCTGAACTTGGAACTGTGCTTTAGAAAAAGGCACGTTTGTGTATGCCAAAGAATCATGTGTGTGCCAAAAACTGTTGTGGCAGTCTACAACAGCTTTCCTGCAGATATAGGATAAGAAAATACCAGTATAAAAATCAAAAGATATGGAAAGTGGTACTTGGGCAAAGTGGAGTAAAGGTTGGCTTGGAGAAGAAGGCCTGAGGTGGTGGTTATTTATATTTCAAAGACCATATATGCTTCTGAAGGACATCTGCTATATATGTTTGGGTTTATGCTACAGATATTTCTATTATTATGTAGATGCTTCTATTTGTACAGAATTACCTTGAATTTGTACCAGAATTACATTGGCAACGAAGCAGTAGGAATGGTCAGTCAGCTGTTCCCTGGTGGAAGTTAGAGTGATGACGTTTATTAAATGACCTAAATGAATTAAATGTAAATGACCCATAGCTTCCTCCATTGTGCAAAACACAAGGGAATGGCTATCGTTACACTGATTGAGACCTCCCTCTCACTGCAGAGGGATCAGCCCTATTTATCCTATTTCTCCTGGCCAAGGCCTCTTGGCATTAGATATGTCACTGATATAACAGTGCACAGCTCTGTAGGAACCAGTGTGTGAACCAGTGCACGCTGTGTTAACAAATGATCAATTGTGTCTCAAGAAGTGTTTTTTTGTTAACAGAGGATGTTACCTGTGAAGGCGAATCCCCCATTTGCTCTACTGACCCTCAGGCAGAGGAACACTCTGCTCTCCTGCTTCTGGTCTGGTTTTCTATGTGTATTTTCTACAGGAGAAAGCACTATGAAAGAAAGCAGTGTTGTAGGTGGGGTGGGGGGAGAAGCTGGTGTTCCATTGGACGTGTATGCAATTTGGCACGTCAGAAGAGGAACTGGGGGAGCAGAGGCTTGTGATTGACCGCTGCCCCGTGGCCATTACAGCTCTGGCAGTTCTCAGTCATCCCTTGCCCCAGCTTAGCAGCACGGCCCGTGATTCAGAGTCAGGGAAAATACCATGTGAGGTAAAACTTGGAAAACCAGATAGATTTCATTTTACGAGCCTCATGGTAGGAGATGCTTTGTGGGGAGGGCAGTGGTTTTTACAATTTCCTTGACTCTGAGGTGGGATGGGATTAGAAGAGGTCTGTTCCTTGCGAGCACAGTGAAGTGGCTGCTGTGTTCAAATGGGATCATGAAATCTCTGGAAGAGAAGCCTCCTGGGAGTATGTCTGTCCATTGTAGAATCATAGAATGGTTTGAATTGAAAGGGACCTTAAAGGTCATCTAGTTCCAACCCCTCTGCTATGGGCAGGGACACCTCCCAGTAGACCAGGCTGCTCAAAGCCCTGTCCAGTCTGGTCTTGAAAACCTCCAGGGATGGGTCAGGGTAAGGGCAGGGTTTACCTTTCTTAGGAAGAATGACTCGCCTAGATCTTTGGTTTTGATAATATTCAAATATTCAGAAGGAAAATGACATTGCTGAAAAGATGCATCATCTTAGTTGGATGACTCTGTCCTGTATTGAGAGGGGTTCAGTAAAGCTCATGCCTAGCTTGGTGTGGTCAGGAGAGAGGGTTTTTGGCACCCTGCTGGAGAGAGAGGAGTTGCTTTGGGAGACTGAGTCTGTCCAATGGCTGCTGTAGGAGACATGTTCCCCCTCTGTTGGGGACAGCCGTGGGACTCTGCTCTTGGTGATGGGGGGAGAAGTGTTTGGCCACGTTTGCAGTCACAGCCCCTCTTCTGAGGCAAAGCAGCAGGCTGCCAACTGGGCTGCTCTATTCAGTTCTTAAGGTGAAAATCCTATGGACAATAACAAATGCAGGAAAAAGAGGAAAAAAAAAAGCTGCTGTGTGCTGGGCTATGTGGAACCTGGGTGAATGCTTTCTTGGCACTCAGGCTTCTCCTCATTCATGTTTCTTTTATCAGCGGATGTATGAATGGGTACCACTTTGCCACACGTAGGGTATAACTTCATGTATGCTCAAGTAGGTCACAGCTGGGTTTCCTGTCAGGAGGGGTTTTACTCAGCCCTGTGCCTATTACGAGCTGCGATCTGATTAAAACGTAAGAGCCTTTTAGATCTAGGCCTTGTTTCCACTTGAATGTGGGGCAGATAAAACCTGGCTTTGGGTGGCACAGGAAGCGGGGTTCTTCCTGCTGACCCAGGGTCTGGGCAGGACACCAGGACCCTGCCAATCTGGAGAGTGCATTTAACCCTGTCATGCTAGACTGGGACCAATTCCTGACTATTTATACTCATTAAACAAAAGAAGACTCCACCCCCTGCCCATTCACCCCCAGAATAGCCACATAAATTGCCATCACACCCAGATGATAACTGCCATTTTGTTTTAGCTGAACATACTATCCCTTGTAACTCTCTGCTAGGCAGCCCTGTGCAAAAAAACCCCCTCATTTTGTCAGGGTCTCTGTGCTAGTCTACAGGGTGGGCGAGAGAACCACAGTACATCAAATTCTTAATGTATTCAGGGTTGCTGCTCGTCCTGTGAATTACAGGATGTCCTATAGCACAGGCTCAAGTTCCACATCCTGGCAGAAAGAATAATTGTGTGTGTGTGTGTTCTTCCACCTCTCCCCAATTACAAGCATCTCTTCTCAGCTGAAGCTGCAGACTGCAGCCATTCCCGGAGCCATGGTGGAAGGAGGAGAGAGATAGGGGGCCTCTCCCACGTTGGGTGGTGGGACACAATTTGGGGGATGTGCTCCTAACGTGTAAACTGAGTTGAGCTGAATGGACCGCTGCTTCTGTCCCGTGGGAGCTCCTTTAAACTGGTAATCCTAAACATACCTTGGGATCTTTTGGAAGTAAAATTCCTACCTAAACTATAATCCAGCAAGGATGCTTTAAAGAATTATTTTGTTTTGGTATGAACAGATCTAGCAGTTGAGTGTTGAAAGTGACCAGTTCAAAATTGTCATTGCAGCTTCCAATTCAGCTCACTTGTGCATAATGCTGTATGAGATATGTTTA